AAAATGGAACAATCAATTTAAAGCAACAGTTCAGGAACGGTTTCGCGGGAAAAACCACCAATAATGAAGTTGTAGATGAAAACCAGACGATTAATGTATGAAAAACTGGAAAAAAACGTCGGGGAGGGTCTTAGACAGGTACTCTCCCTCTGCCGCTCAGCAATGGATAAAGACGCACGTTGGACGAGTTGTCTGAACGTGCCCGCTGTAAACGCGCTCCATTTTTCAATCAATTTTCCCTGTGGTCCCAAAACGAGCACGATTGCCGACGCGTCCAATGACGGCCGGCAAGGGGGCGGGATTGGGGAAATCCCCAAGAACACCCATGTTTGAGGGACTTTCCACCCTGTTTTTGAGTTTCTGAGGTAAGTTCGTTTATTATTTCCACTGCATATGTTCTTCACTAGGGCTCGTGTATCCCTCAGTAGTAGTGGCATTGAAATTTTCGGACCCTCCCTGAACTGTTGCTTTAACTGACGAGTAATCTGCTACCGTATAGCGCATTCCGACTCGTCCTTTGCTGCGGTCTCTCTCTTCCTTCGCCGCGCGACGGGCCTCTGGGACACCCTAGTCAACCGCGTAGCACAACATGCAAATATCTACAGCCGATATCCGAAAGTTGGGGTTGTCAGCATGCTTTGCTGATATCCAGCGATCTATGTTGGAAGCAACCTATCCACGTAGCTCTACCAAAGGTGCAATCGTCACTATCACGGTGAACACGCCCACCAACTGTCGGAGCAGTAGAGTCTTGGAAATATAGTCGCACGCGAAGAAAGTGTTATTGGAAAAACTCCAGTCTCAGTTCGTGAAAATATTGACGAACAATGCTGTTGAATGTTGTCTGAAAAAACAGCGGCTCGACTTCACTGTTGTTTGCATGGCAAAGTGTGACGTGTCAACGAAAGTGAAAAATTTCGAGTTTGAAGTAAGTGTATGCTATTGAAAAGAACGTCTCGACTGATTCATCAAAAACAAAAGCATACACAGTTTTTTTTCCACTTTGATGGCAATTGCGAAAGGTGGAGTAGGCCGTGGACGAGCTTCTTTCAGAGCGTGATGGGTATTGTATTAACCCTTTGACTACTGGTGATACACATGCGTACCACTTCCGTAGACAAAGGCATTACCAGGGTTTTGAAATTTATTCAGACTGGAATGACCGTTCGATGGCGGAATTGTGCACATATGGGAATGCTATGATTTTTTCTCTGATAAAAGGTCGGTTCCAAGCCAAGCGATTACTCTGGGTAAATTAACAAGAATATATGAACCGCACGTCTGGCGCAGTGTAGCAGCTCCCAAAAGATAATTTCCAAGCTCACAACCCTTAATAAGTGCTATAAATTTGGTGTCCGCTTTACTTGCATTAGGTTCACATGTGCAACGCCGATAAAGAGTGTGCATAGATTATCAGCCAACCAGTCAATGCCGGACTACTGGCGTTCGCACTTTTCGAAGCGTAGCAGACGAACAAAAGCGTATATGCCAAAGATCCGCCAGATCCGAGCGCTCTACAGAGTGCAGCTTGAAAATCACCACGTGTTGGTCGCACCGGACATTTTTACTTATCCACGGATTATTATAAGAAATTGTGTATTCTATTGTTTAAGGTTGCCAATTTTTTTCCATTTCAAAAATACTCAATCGAAGCGTAATGGAGCGGGTGACAAGAGGTATCGCTGCCACGGCCTTGCGTCATGGATGCGAATACAGGTACCTCACGCATAACTTCTATACGTAGTATTGTTGCAGCAGGAGGGATTACTAAGCATGAAACACAATCGTAAATTAATCAAAAAGTCGTAGTGCAGTTGAAGGGAGCCATGGCTAAATTTTCGACATGTCAAGTGTGTACTTTCTTATCTTAAAATCTAGTGGAAAATCTATATCTTTTTTTATTCCATCTTATAGATATTGTCTTCTTTCTATGTTTTTGATTATAATACCGAGTTTCTTTCTTACATTGAAGTATTTTAGTATCTTTTAGTGAACGTCGATGGGAGCGAGGCGATATTTCTTTTGTTTTCAACGCGAAGGCCAAATACGAGAGCGATGAGTTGATCATAATGGATAACAATGCGAAGGTCACTTTTCCTAGCTCTTATTAGTATCAAAGCCTGTAGTGCGAAGGCAGAGATCAGAGAACTGATGCTTTCCTTCTTATCTTACAAGTGTGTAACTTTGTATCGCTTTCACTCTCGAATTTCAAAATGAGATGTTATGAAAAAAAGAAACAATTCTTCACAATGAAACCAAACTAACTTTTGAGATAGAAATCTTACTCAGAATGGAATTTGTCTTTTAAGCGCCCCTGTCTTGAGTATTGCTGATGAGAGCTCTCACACGGTAGGAATAGCAATTTTTTCGCCAGTTTGCTCCTCAGACATACGGTCTCAAATTTTCGTCATACCAATCAAATAAAGTCATTCTTTGTTCTCAAAAAAAATCATAGAAAAATTCCTCTTCCGTTTCAGGTGTTCCAGCGAGTTCGTCATGAAGAGTCTGAGGCCGAAGTTGATGAAGAAGTAGATGTGTTGATGTCGTCTGATATAGTGTCAGCCCAGGTTTGTCAAATAGTTGCCATGAGGTCAGTTCTTCATTATTTAATGCTTGAATTTTTCTAGATGTCAACAAAAACGATCACTTTTCGACAAGCATTTTCAGGATGGGTTTTTAAACATGCAAGAGAGGTAGTGACTTATTTCCTGACTTTTTTTTGTCTGCATCGCTCCAGTTCTTGACATTTTTTCCCTTTTCTTTATACTATTTATATTGAAAAATTAGTCCTATGGTAGAAATCATTGATTACTGTAAATTTGGCACCTACCAAAAAATCTCCATACATTTTCATAGATCTGCCAAGTGAGTTCGTATGAGCATTCCTTTGTTTGTTGCAAATTGTTTGTTTCCTGACTTTCGCTGTACTATTTTGCGTAAAGTTACACTCTTGAAGTCACTTTCTTGTCTTTTTAGAGAATCCATCCATTCGCTTATTGGGGCATGAAATTGGCCTGGTCAATTCTTGCCCGAATATCAGTTTTACTTTTTCTTTTTCATATGTACACTATTCTTTTTGAAATGTACCCTATTCCAGTATGAATTGTAGAGCTAGCTTGCTTGGAATTGCAATTATTCAACTCCAATAAATTTGCCAATAATTGTTGAATACCACATAACATTATAACAGACAACGAAAACTACGTCATCGGTAGGGGCAGGGATAGACATGTTCATGAACATGTGATGATAAGGTCGACAGATAAGTGAACAGGTGCGGCGTCATTGCAGGTATAGATCATCGGCCAAGTTTTAGTCTACCTTCATCAATGAGGAAAGTGGCACACGTTTATCGCCGAGAGTGGCTGTGGTTTTTTGTTGCTTTTTTAATTCAATTTCCTTCATCCAACCGGTGAAATTCGATGACTGCAAAGTTTAGAGTACTCGTGTAAAAATGAGGAGATCGTGCCGAATCTGCGGTAACGTATTTAATAGCAGCTCGATGAGACGATTGTGCCCTACATCAAGGAACCAGAAGGTTGTACTGGCAGCATGTCTTTCCCTGATAGGGGTGATTGAGAAAGCAAGTGTTGCTGCTGAGATCGAAAATCTCAGCAAGAACATGGACAGTTATCTGTCACTCTCACATGATTCATGCGGTGAGTTCGAAGCATAGTGTAGGGGGTGTGGGCTCCTTGACAAAAAGTGACTGGTTCGATGCGGGAACCCGAGGTCCATACTAGATCCAAAGTGGAACTGGGATCCCCGCATCGGAAAGGTTCCGCTGTGGACGGTGAAGCGGTCACTTATTTTAATAGGGACCCACATCCTAGTGTGAGTATCACTACTAAGTCACTGTGATCAAGAGTATTATGAGCAGGCTCAGTACCTTGCGCTGAAATGGTAGCCAGTGGGAAGCGCATCTCGTACTGCGACGACCCATGTCAGGGGAAAACCACTGCCTACGTGACCACTGCAGATATTCCACCACATCTCGTCGAAGTGATCAACGCAGAGAATAACGTAGGCTTTTATCATAATATGATCCCTACTATATATGAAACGCTGTCTGTCTGTTTGTGTGTGTGTCACGAAATTCATAGCCCGCGTCGCTGCAGACGTCAGGAGCTGATTACAAATTTCAAGAAATTGATAGCGCGCTCCGCAGCAGCAATGGAACCTTGGTTCTTACAAGTGTTATAGGGTGCTGGACGGGGACACATGTGGTTTGTGATCCTACCCAAAGTGGACAACTGGCAGGAGCCGATAAGCGGGGGCCTCAACGTGACTACCATAAACTTCGTTGCGCCCGTCACAGCAACAGTGGAAAGTTGGTTCCGACGTATTGTATAGGGGGACGGACGGTGACTCAGATGGTGGGTGATCCAAAGTTGTAATGTCTGATAAGGACTGATAGGTGGCGTTCAGTAAATCTTATCTAATTCGCTGCTCCCCCGCGGTGACTGTTGTTGCATTCACTATACGAATGGCTGTATTACTAGGTGCTCAAGAAATGAAAACTTTCCATTCCTTATCAAGGAGCGGTATTCATTGAACCGCTAAACAGTTCAGTTTTCTAGATAATGGTGAACGTCCATCAATAAGTATCAGAGGCTCAGTGAATGAAAACTTCCTACTCAAATTGCAACATTACTAGCAACAAGAACAAATCGACCGCTAGCAAGGCTCAGTTCAATACAAATTATGGATGTTTACAGAATTATGATAAGTACCAGTTTAGCTCCGCAGGCTATAGCGCGCATCTTCCCATAGGCTTCAGTTAATGAAGAGCCTGTGGAACGCTAGACTATGCACTTCGTCGGACTTACTACTAGATGAGTTTGCTGAGTGACCAAGCGCTCCACCTGCTCACCTACTTCACTGCAGCCGACCATGTGGTGCGCGCGATAGCGTGCGTAGCAAAACTGGTAAATAATATATCTGTAACACATTTTCGAGGGCCGATTTTTTAAGAACGCTGGGGCTATCAATGCTCGAGACGTGTGGTCGTTTGTAAACGATGCTCTCAAGAGATATTATGGGACAGATTCGTGGCCTGCTGAGGAGGAGGAGGAGGAGGAGGTCCGTCGTAATGTAGTTTGAAATTATTTTCACGTTACAGGGTTAGTTCAGGTGGGGTTGGAGGAGGCCGTCTCGGTGCAAGGTAATGATGAAATGATTACTTTGGCTCCTTGCGAGTTGGAATTGGAACCGGCCCCTGAAGAAGACGTCGAAATGATGGAGGACTCTGAAACTGTAGATGATGCGGCATCCACTGAGGATGATCAGGTTCTCTATTGTAGTATATCCCTGTTGCAGTTTTTATGAAATATGAAATTGTCTCGGGGTCGGGAATACATACCATCCAGCAGCGACTCATAGCAGCTGCGCAGCAATGGAAGACCTTGGACAGACGGAAGCAGCTGATCTGCAAAAATACTTCCTTGTCAAAGGAGAAAAGCTGTGAAGCTGTTCCGTTTCTGTCCCGAATGCGGGAGACAACTAGGGAGAACACAACTGAAGGCGATTGGAACTGCAGCTGTGGTGCGGTTCATTTGTGGCAACTGCAGCGTACGTAAGCCTCCCGTGAAAAGATGGGAGAGCACAAATACCTTGTCCCGCATTCGAGGGAGCGCGACGTTCAAAGAAACTTGGTGCTGGCGTACTGGCAATTCACGATCTGAGACTGCGATTCGCTGGTCACTGCCACAGTCAGAATTTTTCTGACAGAGAATGTGTGATGCTACTTATCTGACAATTCAGGAGCTTGCAAGATGGGCGGAAGCGGCCCATTTTGCGATGTTTTCGAGCACCTTTTTTTATGAGGTGTTCAAGGTGACGAAGCCCGCCATCGAGAACGTCTACCAGTCGCAACAACGTCTGGTACTCGACACGATTAGGAGAGAGTGTAAGGTACTCTACGTGTTTTGAAGACCCACCACCAAACCTCAACATATCGCGATTGCAGGAGAGTGCTATTGCAGCGCATGAGCATATGACAGCCGAGGATATTCGGCTATGATTGGGAAGGTGGTGCTGTCAGATCTGCGTACTAAATTGATCCTCCATTGTGAGGTGCTCCATAGATCGGAGACGGGTGAGGCGCTATATGAAAAGGACACCATTACATACTTCCTACACCTAAATTTTTAATTGCAGAGGACGTTAGTACGCGCATGGAGGTCGAGGGCATGAAGCGGCTGTTGCGGTGGGTGGGTGGTATCGGATTTCGTAGTGTTCGTCGTTTGACGACAGACGCGAACGTTGCCATTAGGCGCAAGTCTCCGATAGTGGATCTGAGCTCCGGCTGTCATCGCTTCCATTATTATGACGGATGGACCTGATGAAGTGGCTACAATGAGCTTCAGGAATGTAGGAAAAACACTCGAGTACCACCTGAGAGCGATGCACACACTTTGTTTAGGCGGCCAAACTGGGCGGTTGCGGTGTGATCGAATTGTGGACGGAGAAGACGCAGACGTGGTTGTGGCAAGCCTTTAAAGCGGCTTCGGAGTCGGGGGCCGATCCCAGGGCCTTGTTCAATACATGCTGATGCACATTGTGGGCGTGCATCAATGGCCACGGGTAAGTCCCTTTGTAGATAACTGTTACATCACACCTATTTTGAAATGTTACAGGATCCGCTTACCGACCGCTACACTCACTGCAGCCACGCTCCCCTCCAGGGTCCGAGGCCTCTAGAGTTGGACCGGGATTCTAAGGCGTATGAGGTGTTCCGGGGAGTCCTCCTCACGAAGTCTTTCCAAACAGACATTGAGCGAGGCAGCCCATATGGAGGCACCTCCATATGTGAGGCCAAAAACGCTTTAGATAGATTGTACTGTCCTAAGGAAATATATTTTCCAATTAGGACATACCCGCTTCGTAACATGATGGCCACGATGCATATGAATACATTGCGGCTTGCAGAACTTAGCGGGGAAAGAAAGAGTTGAAGTCACGGCGTCAGTCGGAAAGGTACTGAAAGGACTTCTACGCTGGTCCTAAAGTCTCCAGCAAAACATGTTTGGAGAGACTTCGTGTTTAAGGAAGTCCTTGAGGAACGACTCACATCCTTGCAATCGAAGGGTCCTAGCGGTTCACCTCAATGGGTCAAGGACCTATTGGAGGAAGAAGAGGATTACGAATTGGAGTTATAATGCGGTAAGCCTGACGGATAGATTATTATGAATTTATAATATATTTCACTACGCGATCGCCCAATCACTCTAGTACAACATCACAGCTTAGCGCTTGTGCCGCTCTCTAAAATCATATTTGTAAGTGGGAAAGGTCATAATGAGGATGGAGAGATACTCACCGTGAAGCCCGCATATACCCCGCTGCTTGAAGCCCGCATGATACCCCTCAGGCAGCTCATGGAATTGAGGTGCTGTAACGACACATTGGCGTTCTCCACTCAATTTTCTTCAGCCAGGGCTTCGCTCCTTCTACATCCATCCTCATTCACCTCGCGGCAGCAACATTTTCGCGGACCGTGGTGAGCGTCACGCACGATCCGCACGAACACCATTCCAGGCTACTCAGCCTGGAATGGGACAACTCCTTACTAGGAGGATGCAAAAGCTGAAACATGCACATTAATCATTGCGAAATCAGTTCTAAAAAAATTTTGCTTAGGGAATTACTTTTCATTCATCCTGTCCCGCCCTCTCTCTCCCTCCTCATCACTCTCTTCACAATTCCGCTCCGGGTTTCCATTGCCCAATTGGAACGCAGTCCTCGAATCAGAAACTGAAAGGTTTAATTTAATTTAAAAAAGATTGTAATTTTCATATGGATGATAATGATAACCGAGGATAATCTCCTCGTTTGCTTACTCATACGGCTGAAGGGGTGTGGTTCACTTGGACAGAAAGCAGCTTTGTAGAACTGAGAAGCTCAGCTCCACCGCTAATCATCAGTGGACTCGATAATCCGCTATGTGCATTCCTTTCTAGGGATGCGACATTTTCCTAATTTGTTGCCTATTCTAATGAAGAAAAATGATATACTGTAAAACGACATGGGTCACGGTATGATCAATTATGGGGGGGGGGGGGAGGGGAACATGTAGCGGCGCGGCGCTCTGTTTGACTGTTCCTCCAAGGCTAGGTCGCCGATGGCAGGTATTTCGTCACCGCAACGTAATGACAAAAAAGTAACCGCCTCTGGGACTAAGCCGTGGAGGAGCAGACGAACATACTGCTACGCTGCCGTACTCTTTCAACCCCGACCGCCCCTTCTCCCCCCTCTACCCTTCGACTCAAACAGCACCGGAGTTTTGTATTAAGTAGACGGTAATTGAAGTTTCAATAAAGTGATAAAGAGGAAAAATGACCATCAAGGGGTTGACTCAACAGCTATATGATATAGTCATAACTTGAGAATGTGGATGTTACGTATTTATCCCACCCTGCGCCCGTGCGATTGCGTACAGCAAGCGATTACAGTACTCTCACGGCTAGTTCCGCTATCGTTGGCACCCTGTTTTCGATTGAATAACTACGGGTAGAACTTGTGATGAGAGGAAATAATAAGACTAGATGACTTATATCGTCTAGCAGTTTTTGCATATACTTTCGAGATGTCAGCAGTGAATATTTGTGGTAGTGGACATCAGAAAAAATCTCCTATCAGCAAAAGTAGGAAGCGAACACTGAACATAACATTTCATGCAAAATGATTGGAATCGTGGAGAACAGTTTTCCCATTGATAGCGCAATAGTTAAGCTTTTGCTCACAGCGTACGTGAAGAACTGCTATTATCTTCCAATTGTGTAGGTTTATGCCCCCTCTTGTGATGTGTGTTTGGGATCGATGTATAAAGTAAACCAACCTCTTCTGCCGTAGGTGAAGTCGGCGTTCGTAGCGCTGCTTGTGGTGGTTCAGTGAATATATTCTGAGAGGCAGATCATAAATCGCACACAGCTAGACATGAATACCACTTTGAGATATTCGTGGCGTTGACCACTTCGCACAATCTCAAACTTGGGTAATTAAACTTTATCTAGCTTCAACATAACGAAAAACATGAGAACATAACATCGCTAACGTGAGGATGACAGTTAGACCCGACTACTCTTCAGAAATCATGAATGCGAATTGAATTGAACTCGGAACAATGATTAATTAGTAACAAGTAACTAACAAATAACTAACTCTTCTAGCAAATGGGACGCTGAGCATGTCATGCAACAGGATTCATCGTTGCCAGAGAACACACGAGCGAGCTAGATTCAAGCATCCATACCCAGTATTTCATATACTTATCGAAGGAAGAACAAATTGGACGCGAAAACAATTGAACAAACATATCCCCATAAGAGCTCTGAACTAACTTCAATGATGAACAAGGATGACGGGGAAAACAATTTGCGATAGACCATAGGGGGCTAGCCCAACATTTCTAGACGAATCAATCAAACGATATCGATGAAATGGCAAGACACAACTTCCGTTGTTATGAAAATCGATACATTTCAACACTACTGTCCTAGTGCACCAATTGGCCAGATTTTCAAGACATTCGGTCCGACTTACATTTGCGAGGCACTAATGCAAAAGCACTAAGAAAACAAGATAGCCTGAAGGGCGAGGTCGAACTGGAACTTCATAAAAGGAATGCGTCAAGAGAAAAGAGTGCGCTGAATCGCAAGATACTAGAGCAAAATCAAAAACAATAGAGATGAGAATAAAAGGGGCTGATGTCGTAGCGAGAACAAATTATTACGGCAACTGGGCAATCCTTTTATACGGCGCTCGTGGCGCGCGATCCGTCTTCTACTAGATCGGTGATCTGCATTCGTCGATCTTGCTGTCGGTGAGGCTTGACCAGGTCCAAGCGCGGCGTCGATGAAATTCGAATTATCTGACGACCATTGCTGGCCCCCTCCCCCTGTGCCGAAGGCCGAATTCCATTGAAACCGAGCGCTCTTTCAAAAGCCGAAAGCTATGAAATTAGTTTAACTCTCCACAAACTGCTGGATACCATTGCACCAAGTGAGATCTTTTTCAGCCACTCGGGTGCGCCGCCATTGTCACGTAAGGAGTTAATGACAGCCCGCTGCTCACAACGACAAACCTTAGAACGGAGCAAAAAACGTAATTAAGAAACTGGACATATATGACAACACCGGTGTCTTGGTTATATGTCTCCTCGCAACACAGACTCTTACCAATTCATATTTACTACACTAGAATAGTTGGTGTTCTCAATTTACACGTCCCCTTTCGCTCAAAGGAAGCCTTGTAAAAGCCTTCGCCAGCTGTGTGTTGACTGGACTTTGGCGTTGACCGTGGAGCAGCTTATTTACTATTGAAATTTG